AGAACCATGACTACCCGAGCTTTGGATGCTACGCTCAGGCCACCCCCACGGCATGCACGCCCGACACGCTCGGCCAGCTCTTGCAGAACTTTACAATCGGAAAGTCTCAACTCGGCGCCATCGCTTTTGGGGAACTACGCTCCATCAATCAGCACAAAATCCTCGAATCCGGGGGAAGCCACGAGGATCAACACAACGTGCGGCGCCACTTCGCATGCCGCCGAGGCAAAAAGTGGTGCCTTCACTCCAAGTTTGCGATGCTGAGAGGCATCGCGCTGCAGCGCCCGGCTTAGCGGGGCGCAAGTGTACCATCTTCCACCCAACCAGGAAAAGAATTGGTGCACTGTTTGATCGCCTTTTTTCTTTGCTTTGCTGTTCTGCCTTTCCGCGACCGTTCTCTCACCTTGTGACCTTACCCGCTTGATTCCGCTCACCAGCTTGTGGTTCGAACATTTCCTTTTCCCCCGTGTTTTCTCATGGCTTTCCAACCCCCTCGAGGTTTGGTTACGGCGCTCCAAAGGCAAAACTTACCACCGCAGCCTTCGCCCACGGCATCCCATCATCATGGCATCGTGTACGGCAACAACATGGCCGGGAACCCGTGCGGGGCCCTGTCCGGGCCTTCCTACGGATGCTCTTCCACGGCATCGGCACCGCCAGCTACACATCCGACTCCCTGTCAGACCTACGGCCAACCTATTCCCCGTTACCCACCACACCCCGGCCCTCGTCCACCCTCCTTTGGCGGCTCTCTCCCCCCCCCTCCCGGCGGCAACCCCTTTCCCCCCCCTCCCCCCGTCCATCTCAGGCCTCCCTCCTGGACTTCGGCATGAAGCGACCACGGTTGACTACACCTGACACATCACCGCAGGACGGATCCCCCGCTCTACCCCTGCCCACTCGCATTGCAGACGACTCCCAACCCCCCCCGGCTCCCCCCACCCACGGCGGCAACCCTCCTGCCCCCTCCACCCACGGCGGCACCCCGACCCCTCCCCCCCTCCCCTCCCCACCCACTTGGAAGGAGCCCCGCGACTTGCTCCAACCACCTCCCCACGTTTGCCAATGGCTCACCAGCAACTTCCCACCCGACATTTCCGACACCAAAGTCCAGCGATGGATCACCTCTCAGAAAACCAGCAAAGAGAGCAAGCAAGTCCTAAAAAGCTGGTCCAACGACTGCGCAAAATGGGCAACCACACTGGACTCCGACACCAGAGCCCAACTCGAACGAGCCGCTGTGCTATGGGGCATCCCGGTGCGAACCCTATCAAAACTGGGGTCATCGGCCTTGGGCCGCATCCTGGCCGCTGCGAGTCACTTCTACCAGTGACTCTCAACAGCACACCGACAACGACGCACAGCCAGGCAGCACAAATTTTGGCAACACCACTGCTGCCAACTTCTCACTGTCCTCCGTTTCACTCTTCGGTTCTTCCCAACCGATGACGTCACCGCACGTCATTCTTGCTCCTGGCTACTCGCACAGCTTCAGCTACTTGACGTCTGCCATCTCTCCTGTGGTTCCGGCAGACTGAAAGCCCTGCTTACTCGACTTGGCCTGGACAACCCTGCTTCCGATTTCTCTTCTCAGCTTGTCCCTTCAGCGGTTTATCTGAGATTCACCAGCCATCCAAAGTGGCAGGCCTTTTTCTACCTCGGAGCCACTCGCGCCTCCCTCATGGCACGGGGCCGCAGCCAACTTCGCAAACTACTCCAAGTTCAGCGACATCATCTGGTCAATGCCGAACTGGCAGTCCGGTGGTGGGCACATTTTGACTTTTTCCACCACTACACCTCGGTGCCCATTCACACTGTCGTTCCGGCAACGGACCTATTTGCCACTGAACAGTTCTACATCCAGGAACTGCAACCGTCTCTCAATTTTGGCTTCATCGAGAAACATTTCCGGCCACGCACGGGCTTCATACGCCAATTGGACTTCTCCCAATCCCGGCACATGGGCTTCGCCACCATCTGGCGAAAACGCCGCCGACTACGACTACCCATCGCCCTACAACAGGCCTTCCTGGCCAAACGCGTGGACAACCGCCTGGATTTGTGGCGATTTTTGGGCGATCTTGGCAGCAACACTCTACGACGATTTGATGCCATCCGTTACATACGGACCAGAGACTTCCCACCCGCCGCTCTCTATGTCCTTCATCGCATAGCCACACACCTGCCTGAACCACACCACCAGGCATGCCTTTCCGCCATTCGATCCAGTTTACAATTCCGGGGCCTCATTCCACCTGGCCCCTCGAGACCGATGCTTGCACCCTTCCTCGCCTGGCGACTACTGCTAACCTGGTACCGACAACGACAACCACACTCCTCTACCACACACCTCACAGTGGACACACTTGACACCTCTGCCATCACCCGCGTCTACAACGGACGCCGTCGCCGACACAAACCCACACAACGCACCCTGTGGCTCGACGACATCCCCGAGATCATTCAGGCCACCCTTGACATGCAGATCTTCTCTGTCGGCCTTCGTTCATTCAGGCAAACACGTGGGGCACCGATGGGATCCCCCGCGTCCCCAGCTCTCTGTTTGATGGTGATCGCGGTCGCCGAACAATGTTGGACCAACACTCACATCACATCGGGACTTCGCTCCGTTGAAGATACTCTCCTACTCCGCTACGTGGACAACAGACTCGTGATCGCAACCCCCAGGTGGCTCTCGACTCCGGCAGCCAACATACTGTGCGACGAACACTTCTATGGAGGAGACATCTTCCTGGACACAGAAGCCGCCCTGGACTTCTTGGGGTTCCGACTGAACCTCACAAGCAGCACCATCTCCTTCATCCCCTCGCATGAGAAGCACAACATGCTCTCCGTCAAGTCAGCCGCACCACTGATGCATAAGGAATCTGGATGTTATTCCGGACGCACGCTGATCAACCGAGTTTCCTTTCCTGAGTTTCAGCGAGGTCAGGGTCTTGCAATGTTGAAGAGGTTGCACCTCCAACACGGTTTCACCTTACAAAGAGAAGAAAAACCGTCCTTTGCGGAACCACACTGGTTTTCTTCTCTGCCTTTGCATCCTGACAGATTTGACCTGATTTTCGCGCCGCAGCTGTTTGACTGTTTGACCAAAATCCGTTACGAGCATGGATACCAACACAGCACGCCAGCTGCTCCAAGACTTCGAACTCATCCTTGGCATTGCCCAACAAGGCATCGCCACCATCCGCGAGTTCCCTGAGAGTCCGCCTGCCGAACCTGATTTGGCACCGGAGGCCACGTTCAACCCCGCCATTGAGGACCTGACCAACTCACCACCAACACCCCTCCTGGCCCCCTCGAGGACCTCTTTGAGCCACCTCCTGATGCTCCAGATGAACACCTTCCCACTGATCATGACGAACAATTCCCTGATCATTGGGCTCCGCCCACCCCTCCTCCGTCTTCTCCCGGCGAAAAACGAGCTCGCCGCGCACGTGATTTGGCCTCCTCACGATCTACGGCATCCAAAACCTGCTCGTGGACCAAGCGAAGCTACCACATCGACCAGGACTGATGCCTCTACTGAGGCCGAACCTGAAGCCTCGCAGCCTTGGACTGAGGGAGAGATTGAACTCCTCCGTTCCCTTAAGACCAATTCCAAAGCCAAGTATGTGTGGTCAGTCATCGCCACAAGACTTTCTCGCACAATTGATGCTTGCAAGACTCAATGGGCCTTGCACAAGTGATGTCGCCCCAGTTGGGGCTCCGTGTGTGTGAAGCGTCCTGGAGCACGGACGGAAATTCCACATTGCAGGGGGACTGGAGCCGATTTGCCTATCCAGTCCAATGAAGCTACGGCATTTCGGTGGATACCGGATCTGATCAATCCGGCGTACCTGCCTATTTCCTGACCCTCTTTCCTGATTCTTTTTGCGGTTTCTGTTTGTCGCTGTTGCTTCCTGTTCGGTGTCGATGTTGTGACCTGTTGATTTGCATTTGCATTCAAGCATTTTTACTGACTGCGTTTTGCATCTCGGCTAGTGAAGCCTCTCGAGATAAGTGTGTGTGTGTGTGTGTGTGTGTGTGTGTGTGTGTGTGTGTGTGTGTGTGTGTGTGTGTGTGTGTGTGTGTGTGTGTGTGTGTGTGTGTGTGTGTGTGTGTGTGTGTGTGTGTGTGTGTGTGTGTGTGTGTGTGTGTGTGTGTGTGTGTGTGTGTGTGTGTGTGTGTGTGTGTGTGTGTGTTTGTGTCTTTGCGTGTGCGTGTGCGTGTGCGTGTGGGTGTGGGTGCGCGCGCGCGTGCGCGCGCGTGTGCGCGTGTGCGTGTGCGTGTGCGTGTGCGTGTGCGTGTGCGTCTGGGTGCGGGTGCGGGTGTGTGTGTGTGTGTGTGTGTGTGCGTGGGTGTGCGTGGGTGTGTGGTGTGTGGTGTGGTGTGTGGTGTGTGTGTGTGTGTGTGTCTTTGCGTGTGCGTGTGCGTGTGTGCGCGGGTGTGGGTGTGGGTGTGGGTGTGTGCGTGCGCGTGCGCGTGCGCGTGTGCGTGTGCGTCTGGGTGTGTGTGTGTGTGTGTGGGTGTGTGTGGGTGTGTGTGTGTGTGGGTGTGTGGGCGTGGGTGTGGGTGTTTGCGTGTGCGTGCGTGTGCGCGGGTGTGTGTGTGTGTGTGTGTGTTGTGTGTTGTGTTGTGTGTTGTGTGTTGTGTTGTGTGTGTGTGTGTTGTGTGTGTTGTGTGCGTTGTGTGTGTGTGTGTGTTGTGTGTGTGTTGTGTGTGTTGTGTGTTGTGTGTGTGTTGTGTGTTGTGTGTGTGTGTTGTGTGTTGTGTGTGTTGTGTGCGTTGTGTGTGTGTGTGTTGTGTGTGTGTTGTGTGTTGTGTGTGTGTTGTGTGTGTGTTGTGTGTTGTGTGTGTGTGTTGTGTGTTGTGTGTGTGTTGTGTGTTGTGTTGTGTGGTGTGTAGACTCTGTGTGTGTGTTCTTGTACGTTCGTGTCCAATACGGGCCAATCATTGCTATGGCTTCGAAGTGTTGAGCCCCTGCAAGGTGATATGGCCTGTACGTCTGTCAGCGTACTGAACGAAGAACGGCGCTCGGCCTCCCAAGCAAAACATCAGCAGGCCAGAACACTCAAAAGGCACGCTTCTCCAGTCAAAAGGATATGATGATATAACTACAGATTCACTGGCAAGTACAGTACAATCCTCCAAGGCACGTGCCAGAAGCGATCGCAATACTTGGCAAACAAGTGAATGCAACCCAACACGCGAGCAAACGTGAAGCTCAGCGCATTGTCAGAGTTCTGACGCCTATTTGACCCTTTCTCCCCCAGTTCTGCAACATCCAAGTGTTACTATCCCTGAAATTAAGGCTGTGTTGAATCATGTGAAAGTGTGCCAGGGTAGGGCGTCTTAAGCGGCGCTGGCGCCTGAGTGATGTTGGAAGCTGCTTGACTCCCTGGTCTCTGACTCGCCGCTGGACCTACCATCAGGGCAACTCAATTCCGCTGCACGAGGTTAATCTCCGTCCAAATGCTGGGTTTCATGTTGGGGCTCTTTGAACTGCCCCCAGAACAAGAAGGGTCCTTCAGAAAGATGCTCGCCATGTTTTGAGCGGCCCGCCCTGAGCCCCTGACTGGCGCCAGGGCCGTCCTGCCACATCAAGCTTCCACTCCCAATGGCAAGGCGCCAAATTGCTCCGCCCCAGAAGTGAGACAAGCCCGAAGTTTGACCATACCTCGCAGCTCAGGTCACTCGAATCCCCCCCCCAAACTTGGCTCCTCAGGTGCCGTGATCTCCTGGCCAACTTCGAAAGTGACCGGCAACGACTCCCTCAAGAGCCACGCCTTCAACGGCGGCCGTCGGTCCTGGCCCCGAAACGTTGCGCGCGAAACGTCGGCAGCGCGGATCAAACACATTCCCAAGGCTCTCCTGCAACAGCTCTGCATGGGAGCGAAAGAGTTGTTCGGACCTGACGGGAGTGGCTAGCATTTTCTTCCCCCTAAGGGAATCATTACAAAGTTCCGTGTTGCTTCCATGGTGTTCTGAACACCAAGTCCTTAATTTTAAGTTGACTCGCCGGCTTCCAGCGAAATGTGCACTTGTGACATCTTGAGTTGTGAAGGGAAGGAAATGACGCAAAGCATACAAAGGTCAAAAAATCTCAAGACATAGGCATGGTAGCTGTCAAAGCAAACCTCAGAGGGACAGGCCCTGGTTTAGGATACATCCATACCAAGGATGGATTCGTTCTGCACCACTTTGAAACCATGGGAAACCATGTTTGGGTATTTACAGGGGAATCATAGTTCTAGTGTTTCTTAGGTGGTGCCGGATTTTGTTCATCCACAATATTTATGCAACCTATAGAGTCCATGTCAGGCTTTGCGGCTTTCAGTTCTATGTCAACCCCATATCTCCAGCGATATGCGGAGATCCATAGGTGCCCGGCAGCAAGGCCATGCATTGTTGAACCTCTTGTTCCCATTTGGCGCTGAAGGTGCCCGTCTCCTGCCCGACTGACTCGAAGTGAACTTTCTGAAGTTAGTTCTGGAACTCGGTCAACATGGTTCTCAGTCGGGCACATGGTTCCCCCCGCCCCGTAGCCATTCCCTGCAAGGATCGATTCATGGATGGGGTGCTTCTCATGTTGCCCTCCCAGAACAAGCAAATATTTCCTATTAAAACCCGGCACAAAGTGTCGTGTCAACTCTCAAAGCCAACGCCTAGGCCAGGATACCTCCGTCATTTAGTTTTGGTTGCAATCTATGCGAGCCATATCGAGCTATAAACCTCATGTCCAAAAGGCAACTTCTGCACACCAGGATGCAAATGAATCTCTGTTGATAGTCCTGCGAAGACTTGCGCTCTGCGACCTGATCATGCTCAAGCACGGGTTGACATCAGCAGCGCTCATACCTATTGACTCTGTTTTTGCGAAACAATTGTAAGTGTACGGGCCCTCATCACAAACCCCATGAAGCCAAAATGCTACCAGCTACTCCTTGCTGTTCACCATGGTCTGAACCCAATCATGAACCCCTATTTATATATTGACCAGAGCGTCTCGCCGTCAGTAACTTGTGGCAGCTGAGACAATTGAGCGACCTTGAGCCACTTCTGATTGGGAATGCTGGGCAAATAAGCACGGCGTCCGCCCGATTAGAGCCACCCAACAGCATTGAAAGCTGCTTGCGGTCACTGGTCACCAGCATGTTTGTTGGCAATCTGAGCTGCAGTGATCATTTGTTGGATTATCAACATTGCACTGGATGGCAAGAATCAAGCAGTGGGCAAACTCACACGCAGACGTGCTCGCAAACCTGCTGCCTAGGTGCTGGTCCTCGTCGACCCCCCAGCCCCGGCCAGGCTTACCGAACAAGGACATCAGTGATCCGTTGATGAAGTGACCGTGCGCGGTACACACGCATCGATTGCGCGTCGCAACTGGCAGCAGTAGTCTGCACCTTGCCCAGGCATCTTGGCGCCAACTTGCCTTTGCGCTTTTGGTTCGACGTGGCGCCTTACCGATTTGAATTGACATGCTTGTGGTCACTGAAATGCCAGCGTCTGGGCAAATGCTAGGTGTCGAAGCGGCTGGGCCAATGGACCTTATGCTTTTGCAGCCCCGGCCCGGTGGAAAGGCACGATTTTTTGCCGTAGAAAGTAGTTGAACAAGTGCAGCTCCGCAGGCCCAGTCGGCGTTGAACAACTTTTGAGCACGCGTGTCTGCAAAAAGTACTCTCAAGCACAAAAGATGTGACCGGCGTAACTCTACATGTGCGAACTGGAGGTCTGGCGTTTGGGCAGGACTATCTCGCTTTACAGGATGAAGGCCAAACAAACAGTCTGAGAACGGCAAATGGTCAAACACTCTTGTGGGTTCTTGCATTGGCAAACATGCTCGAATGCTGCTCCAGCCTCTGAGTCAAAGGTCTCTTGAGCAATGTCCAGGGTGTCTTGCAGCTGCCTGGTCATTCTCTCTGGGAAGAATTCCAAGGGTCCGGAAAGGGCTCGTTCACTTGCATAGTCACACCGCATCCAAGGTCAGGACTTCCTGCTGGGAGCTATCTGCCTAGATCGCTTCGCTGGATAGAGACTGAGTCGGCTTGTCAGTTGCCAATTCAGTGCCTAGTTTCAGGCGCCCACCAGGGTCTTTGATACCACATGCACTCCTAACATCTGCCCTCGCAGATCTCAAGGCAACGCAATACACCGGGCCAGCGGCATTTTGGGCAAGTCCAGGAATTCCAGGGCCTTCTTCACCATCACGTCGATCTACGCGATAGTTGCTCAGCTTGGCCCCAGGAATCATCATTGTTCTACACCAAACTGACACTTGGTGTCCCGCAACCCCTCATGAAACACGTCAATGTCATGAGCCTTGCTAACCCCCGAGTCACAAAAAAATATATATGATGAACACAACTTCCCGTTGTCGTGGTGGTTTGGGCCTGTTTTCAACGCATGTCCATTGTCCACCTGCTTGAATTCAAGCCTTCGGGTACAGTCCCCCAGGAATCGCTACCGCCGGCCTCTGGACAGGCCGCAATGGAATGGAGGCAGAGTCTCATCTGGCCGCCGGGACACGTGTCAAACGTGTAGTGAGCTGGGCTCGTCCAACCCGTGCTCTTTTGTTTCTCGGGGGAATCCGGACGTTTTCCGGGCTTAACATCCGGGTCCGGACCCTAGCTTAAGTTCTTCCAAGTCGCGAAGCTCTCGGAATTCCAAGTCCCGCCTTGGGCTGCATCTCAAAGGCCACGACCTATCGCAGCTCCAAACATGGCAGGCGAGGCTCGGAACAACACAAGGTGTTTCGGCCTAACATGGAGTGGAATAGTCAGCTTGACAGGCCACGTTTCAGAAAAAATGCTCGCGACTATGTTTACGGCCAACCCTAAACTTAGACCCTAAACCTGAACCCTAACTCTAAACCCTTAAGGGATCTTAAGGGGCTGTGGGTATGTGTAGGTATTGTCTTGCCAGCTTTCCGCATGAAAGGGAGAATGGTGAAGACCATAAGGGGGAGGGGGGGCGGAAGAACCTGTGGTCTTTTCAGTTTTCCCCAACTCCAAGCCGAAGCTAGGCCTTGCCCAAACTCCTGGGCACCGCCATCTGATTCACCTGGGCCACCTCGCGCGGTTGCAATCGCAATGTCGGTTGCCTTCTAGTTGGGTGATGTTGGGTGTGCATTGTTTCGAGGCTTGTTTTCAAAGGGCAAAAGGGGGCAACCAAAAGGCAGCCAAAGATTTTAGGGGTCCCCGAGAAAGGACAAACTCATGTTGTTCATAAACGTGCGGGGGCAAACCAAGGACGAAATGCTTGGTTCGATCGCTTCACCGCTGTGATTTGGAGGGCCTGACTTGACTTTCCATGATTTGCGTCGAATGAGTCTGGAAGCCTCCCAGTTGCCACTACAGTAGGTAACCAGCAGTCGCCTTTGAAGGTGGTTCCGCAGGGAAACGGAATCACTGGGCACATGGAACCCTGAATGGCGACAGCTTGGTTCGTTTAGCATCAGGGGTCCATTTAACTTGACTTGCGCTTCCTGAAATTAGTTGAACTGGTACCCCACGCAAAGGGGGTGTAGCCACCCCCACTTCTATAACCATCCTAAAGGCAATAGCAGACCTTGGCTTTTACTTCGCCGGTGGTGCGGGTTGCTGATTATGCCATTGGTCAAAATCCCGTACCCCCAGTGAACATCTCAATCCCCACTAAAATGGACCAAAATGAGTGGTGCACCTACTCCAAAATGGTACCATTGGTTTTGACAACCACAGCCACATCGTAGTACTGCCGTTCCTATTTGATGATGCCCCCTGCCACCTCAATTGCTTCTGACCGTGCAGACACTTTTCGGTTTCTACAGGACAAGATTTTCAGACGCAGGGAATCCGGAGCTTGGGAAACACCCCGCTGGAAGACCCAAAGACTTTGACCTTTGGCAACCTGGTTGCACGAGACTTCACAATCCCTGCTCCATTGATGACCAAGATACCTTGCTCACACGATCAACGCCGACAAATGAGGTGCCCATGATTTTGTCCTAAATTGACCACAGAGTACAATGAATGATTGAATAAACCTGAAAGAGTGGTCATCGGATTTCCAGTCAAATAGATCGACTTCTTGGTAGGTTCAGGTTGAGGTAGAAACACCAGAACTTCAGTGGACTTCGAGAAAAGGACTGGAAACACTTCTGGACAACAACTGGGAAAAACGGTTAAAGTAATCTTCCTTTCGCTTTTTGTTTTATAACACAAATCCTCAAAGACCCCCGAAAAATGCGGCGGGTTCGCGATGTCTGGGGCTTCTGGCCAGGGCTGCGAGCTTCTCCTTGATCTCCTCCAGCTCACTTTCAAGCCGCTGGATCCTCGGATCCCAAAAAACGTACGACCCGGAGATGTCAGCTGGCGGCTTTTGGTTGGGATTTGCCCTGTTCTTACAAACTTAACAAAGGACAGGAGTAGTTGTTTCTTGTTCACAGGCGGGAGTAGTTGTTTAACAACTACGCGCTTCTTGTGCGGGAATTCGGCTCCAACATGGGTGAATTCGGCTCCAACAGTGAATGAGGGCATATGGCACTCGACTCACCTTGGGCGGCCAACCGTTGCATCAACTTTCCACCTGGCATGCGGAAAGACCCTCGACAAAAAGGGGAGAAAAAAACACGTGCGAGGAGAGAGCTCTCACATCCTGGCCTTTCACTTCTTCCTCCTAGGCGATCAGCCAAATGGGGTTGATCAAGATTCCCTTCGGCCCCCAGTTTTGACCAAGGGCCATTTGGCCATGGGGCAGAACCTATGGCTCCATTTTGGGGTGGATGAACATCCATTTGCCCCCTACTTTGATGTTCACCAGGGGTACAGGTTTCGAGCCACAGCCATTTGATGGGACATGTCATCTTTTCGGTGGTCTTTTCCCATTGCTCATTCCATACTGTGGATGGACAAAATCCTGCACCACCTGAGAAACCCTGGAATGATGATTGCCCTGCAAATACCAACAAACAACGGTTTTTCATGGTTTCAAAGTGGTGCAGGATTTCGTCCATCCACAGTATAAAGGACCTTTTGATCAAACCCTACATGCCCTCATTCAGGCAAGGCATGGCTGCTTCACGTCGACGGCGGTCCTCTTCGTTGGCCCTTAGCACAAAGCCACCAGCAGTCGAAGTGGCCACAGCTGCAAGGGGTTTGTCACATGAGCCACAATCAAAACCTGGTACTAAAATGGTGAACCCAGAACCATGTAAAGAATTAAGAAGGCGGCCGCAGCTATTTGTGGCTGGGATTGGCCCTTGGTAACCTTCATCTACCCGGGTTTTGATTGTTTTGATCCATGTTTTTCCACTTGCCAGGGTTCATGGCCATGGGTCAAAATCCAAAGCCCGTACCCCCAGTGAACATCCCTAAAATGGGTGGTGCACTTACCCCAAAATGGGATCCCATGAGTTTTGACCCACAGCCACCCGGGATCATGAACCCGGCGGACCCTGTGTGCAAGCGAAGGCTCACAAACTGCCCTTTGAGAAGGGGCCCATTCCCACGGCAAGGGTTGCAGTCCCTGATTGATGCGCTTCCTCGTCCAGGATTCGTGTTGTCTTCCTTTCAAACATTTAGCCCAAAGATCTAGGGGTGACTTCTCCATTCTTTCCAGGGATCCTTCTTTCTAGAAAACCACCACACACCCTGGGGAAATGGCTGGTTTAAGCAAAGAACGATGGCTGAAAAGAATGGTTGGAATCACCGTAGAAAAGAATATAGGGTCGGAAACTGGGATCCTGGCTCAAGCTTCTCCAGCAGCTCGCTCGGATCCTCTCGCGCAGCCCCCATGGCATCGACAGTCCCTTAAAATTATGCCCCCCAGTTTCACTGGACTCTCACACGGCCTCCACTCCGTTCTGGCGCATCTTCTCTTCAATCTGGACGCAAAAAGGCAAAGCCAACTGCGGCTCTCGAATCTCTGAGCCTCCTTGCGGTCTGCACCCTCGTCGAGCATCCTCATATACCTCGCCAACTTCTATGCACCCCAAGCCGAGTCAAGGAAATGATCCAAGCTGCTCGTCTCCATGAGCCACGTCAAAGCTGCCCTGCGCAGCTCTCAGCTTTGCACCACATCATGAAGCGTCACAAGGGCAACTCCCAGAAGTGCAAACACAACACTAAACGACCCTGAACCAACATGAGGTAGGCATCATTCCGATTTGCAACCTGCCCTCCTCTGGCTCACAGCAATCCCATCTTAAGTCACTGCCCGAGTTCAATTTCAATCTGGGCATCGGTACAGCGTAGCCTTTTTGGCAGATCAGTAGCCCTCACCTTTAGGAATTCCATAAGCTTTGGCACAGGCATCCAAGCTGCGCACTTACCAGCCTCGGCTGTGCTGGCCTTGACAGCTTCCCACATCTTGTTCATGATTGCGCCGCCTGGCAAATCTGAGCTTAAAATTTAAAAGCTCGACGGGGCTTTGAGCCGCCATGATATGGTTGCACTATCACTGCCCCGGCGATCTTGTTGACAGGAAGAAACATGCGTCCAATCCGCTGGCTTCCGCAAAAACCCTGTTGCGGAGCACACGAACGAGGGGCAGCTTGAAGGTTCAAACTGGGCTTCCTGCGTCTAGGCTTGTCCTGCATCATAGACTTGCCAAGCTCCTGCAGTGGGGAATACTCATAGCAGCATTGACCAAAGTCAGGCCAGTGAGGTCTTGCTATTCCCTCACCAAGTTGCCGACCCTTTTAGTGTGTTCACAAGCCAGAAAACACGGCATGGATCACAAAATCGCACAGGCTGAGTTGAGGCACACCAAAGCAAACCAGTTGCTTCCGCAGGTTTCTTCGGGAGTTGCACACTTATTGCCGTTGAAGCTGTGTTTACATCCGACCTGCAGAATTCCCATCAGGCAAGCCCCAGCCGAAATTGGAATTTAACAGGCTTTGACAAGTTTATGGTGTCGGGAAATCGCGGGAATGAAGAAAGGTGTTGGCCTAGTTTCTCCGCCGAGGCCAGGCAAGAAGCAGCTCGCCTTGATGCTGTCTAGCAGGCTGGCACGCTCCTTCTGCAAGTTCACCTGAGGAAAAGCTGGAGCCACCACCTCTTCCGGATGCCCGACACAAAACAAATGGGGGGCGTTTTCGTCCAAGGCCCCTAGAAGGCCCTAGAAGGATGATATTTGTCACGAAATGGGAAAAGTGACCCATGGTCATTTGGGCCAAATATATTGATCCACCCCTACATGTCGCAACGTATTTTAAGGATCGCACTATGCGCTTCGCGAGCACGGTGACGCTGTTGGCGTCCGCCTGGGCCGGTGAAAAGCGCTTGGGTCAGATCGCTCCATCGCAGCAGGCCTCGCCCTGGTTCAGCATCAACGCACGCCTGGCCGTTCTCTTCACCCATCAAAACCCCAGCTGTTGCCCAGTTTCCAAAACACGGAGCGCAAGAAATCATGGAGGGAGCACAGCCAGTATAGATAATTTAATTGAAATACGAACTTCAATTGGTACGCTGGAGGCATAACACAATTCAAGCATCAAGTAATATACCAAAACTGTGCAAGGAGTCAGAGCTACTTTTGCAGTTTCCATTTGGGTGTCTCCTACATCAAGGCATCCTGCAGGAAATCTGGCAACTCTCGTTAAGAGCGTAGGAGCTCTCTTGGGGCCTGAACAAATGCGGAATCCTTGAAAACCGTAGGCCTACGAAACGTGATCAACATCTTGCCTCAGAGGTTAAGCATCAGTGTGTCTTGTCTGTATGCCCAATTTCGCTCAACTTAGCTGGTGCTTAGTTCTGGCTCATTGGTTTAAGCTGTGTTTTGCTCCACGGCTCAAAAGAAATGCGACCCCGGATCTGCAATGCGTTTTCCCAAAACTTGTCCAACGTTACGCTTGTTAATGTCAAATTAAAAGGCAAAGCTGCAGTTGCTTGAAGATCTTGAAGTTCAATTTGGCTGCGTGCGCTTGCGTGGGTTGTGTTTGCGCGCGCACGTGCGTGCGTGGGTGTGTCTGTGTATGTGTGTGCTTGTGCGTGCGCGCGCGCTTGTGCGCTCGTGGGTGTGTGGGTGTGTCTGTGTGTGGGTGTGTCTGTGTGTCTGTGTGTCTGTGTGTCTGTGTGTCTGTGTGTCTGTGTCTGTGTGGGTGTGTGTGTCCGTGTGAGCTTGTGCCCTTGTGTGTTTCTCTTTGCGTGTTTGCTTGTGTGTTTGTGTTGGTGTGTCTGTGTGGTTGTGTGTTTGCGTGTTTGTTTGTTCGTGCCCGTGTGTGCCCGTGTGCGCTCGTGTGTGCTCGTGTGTGTATGTGTGTGGGAGGGGGTGTGGGTGTGGGTGTGGGTGTGGGTGTGGGTGTGGGTGCTTGTGCGTGCGCAGGGGTGTGCGACGTGTGTGTGTGTGTGTGTGTGGGTGTGTGTGTGTGGGTGTGCGTGCGCGTGTGAAAGCGGGTGCGGGTGGGTGCGGGTGCGGTGTGGGCGTGTGCCCGTCCGTCCGTCTGTACGTGCGAGACTGTAGCGTCTCCAGCATCCCCAGCTTCTATCTCTAATGAGCTTGGTGGTGTCTAGGCGATGTTGGCCTGGCAATTTGTCTTTTGGTTTCCCCTGGAACTGACCCGCCCCCCCTCAACTTTTGCATTTCAGGAAATCCCAATTCAAATTTGCATCCGCACATCCGCCTCCTGGGGATGAACAGTGAGCCCCTGCGCAGGCTGCTCTTGGTCTTCATCTCATAGAGTGCCTGCCACATGCTTTTCTCTTGAGCGGGCAGATGGCGAAACTCCTTGAATCTTGAGGCCTCAAACGTGAGACACACACCCATGATTCAGCAAATCTCTGGAACCCAAGCCTTACCTCGAGCTTCTTGAATCGGTCCGAAGTTTTATTTTTTTTTATTTTTTTTTCCGACTGGTTGGAGTGTTTGGAGGGATTCCACGCACGCTTGATCTCAGCATGTCTCAATTATTGCTTGCCTGATTGGTTGGACGTGGAAGTTGAGCAGGAATGGGACATCGCGCGAAACTCCAAATCAGGAAACGCACACAAGCCGGTCGGGAACAACCCCGGACATTGGCTGAAGCCATCTTCATTAATGTGCGTCGTGGCCTTAGTCAAAATCTACATATGAGCCCCCCCAGCATCCACAGAATTCTGTCAAAGGCCAGGGAAGCAGGTCATGCTTTCATCTTTGCGCCAAACCCAACTGGTCCCAAGATGGACATGTTCATTTTATGCATGTTGCAAGTGCAGTAACTGCAACTGGTGCATTGCACTAGACTCCTCATCCCCAGCTTGAAAGCACCATTCTCTTGTGTTCATTGGACCCCTTGCTCGCGTGCAGTCCCTGTAGATGATGATTCTCTTGGCCATGCTTCGCATGTGTCGAATTGAGGCAAAAGGAAGCCAGGAGCTGGAACCCTTGGAAGAGCAATCCCGTTTTTGGCAGATGGAAACCCCTTTGGAGTTTCTCCTTTTGCTTCCTTCGGTCTCAGCTTGGTGTCCTTTTGGTTTCCCCATTTTGTTCCCTTCACTGGATCGATCCTGCAGCTCGATGAGGCGCTTCACCTGCTCCCGCAGCTCCTCGATCACCTGCCGAAGCGGGAAAACAAACAAAAAAACGGGCTTCGGACACCATACCACTTCCATTTGGTTTAGACCCCCGGAAAAACACTATTTTCAGTAGTGATAATTTCCTTTTGAAACCAACAAGGGAAAATAATGATATTCTTAGGCAAATGGAAGACCAACATACCATCGCACACAAGCATACAAATGAAGGTAACCACCATACCCCAATGGTGCAACCATACCCCCGCATACAACCCGCCCCATGGGAAGCCAACAGTACAAGGTCTGGGTCAGGGAAACAAGGATCGTTACAATACCATGGCCTGGGCACAGGGTAAAAAGAAATCCAGTCGAATCGAAGGCACCACCAAAGACACAGCCCCAAATATATAAAACACAATCTTTCGGTGACAGCTCCGAGCGCAGGGCGAGCTGCACGCATTGCCTAGGGCCTAGATGGCTCATTTTTGTAGCGTGGCAGGGTTTGCAAGGCAAGCGGTGGCTGTACTGCTGATTCAGTGGGCTTTGCCTTCAGGGATTCTTAAAATATTGGAATGCATTGGAAGAACCAATTCTCATAAAGCGAATTTCACTTCTCTCAAATTGGATCGCAAACGTAAACATGCTTTCACAATAGGCAACTAGTGCCTTTAGCACCAGTCCTATTCATGAGAGCAAAGGGCAACTCGGATTCCTCCGAGATGGTGAACTTGGGACTTCTCAACTCAGCAACTCGCATGTGAGCCTGGAGCACCTTCAGCACCATGTCATTGCAGCCCTCGCCATTTGCTTCTTCTGCAATCTCTATTGCTGTGCGGCCTGCTGAATCCAATTGGCTCGGATCTGCGCGCTCCGCGAGCAAAATCCGAACCAAACTGCAGTCTCCAAGCTTGGCAGCGATGTGGATGGGATAGACTGTCTTGCCTCCCACCCAGCCAGGCGGACGTGGCTGTCGCCTTACAGTGGTAAGCAAAGTTGCAAACCAAAACACACACACACACTCACATTAAAAAAAAAAAGAAAAGAACAAGAACAAGAACAAGAACAAGAACAACAACAAGAACAAGAACAACCACAACCACAACCACAACAACAACAACAACAACAACAACAACAACAACAACAACAACAACAACAACAACAACAACGACAACGACAACGACAACGACAACGACAACCACAACCACAACGACAACCACAACCACAACGACAACCACAACGACAACAACGACAACAACGACGCACACGCACCGCACACAAAGCCAAAAACAAACAAACACAGAAACAAACACACAGACACGCGGAAACAGACACACACACACACACAGATACACAGACATACAGACCCAAATGCACAGGTGCGCAGGCACACAGGCACACAAACACACAGAAACAAACACACGAACACACGAACAAACAAAACACAAACACACGAATACACGAACACACGAACACACAACCACACGAATATCAATACACACAGCCAAACACACACGCACGCACACAGACACAGACACAGACACAGACACAGACACAGACGCAAACGCAGACGCACACACACACACACAACAGACACACACACACAAACACAAAAACAAAAACAAACACAAACACAAACACACACACACACACAAACACAGACACACACACACACACACATACACACACACACACACCCGCGCGCTCGCGCATACGCGCGCACCACCCAGCGCCCACCCACGCGCACACCCACACCCGCGACACCTGCACACAGACCCACAAAAGTTAGAAAGAAAAGAAGATACGCAAACACAAACACATTCACACCCTCAAACCCTAACAAAGAAGAAAACAATGACACCACACTGCCGACCCAGCCACGCGCCCAACCAACCAGCCAAATCAGTCAGCCAGTCAGTCAGGCAGTCAGTCAGTCAGTCAGTCAACCAATGAATCAACCAATCACTCATTCAATCAGACAATCAATCAATCAATCATTCAACCAATCAGTCAACTAGTGAACCAGTCAATGAGTCAGTCAGTCACTCAACCTATCCAGAAAGGAATCCCAGAGGAGACGAGATCTAACCTTCGAGTAGCTAGGAGTCGAGTCCACAGGTTCAAGTGGTGACTGACGTGGCTTCCCTTTAGATGCGAACGCGTTGCCAAGTCAAACGAGAAGCACACACAGCAGGAGAAACAAAGGGGTCAAAGGACATTTTAGCACAGGTCACCACCATGGGCCTGTGCCCCCTGCATACTCATGATTGCAGCAAACGGCTTCAGGGTTGAACTGAAGCTCAGCACCCACACACACAAAAACACGCACGCACACAACACACAATGACAGAACACACACACACACAAACACGCCCACGCACACAACAAAAACACCCACACCAAAAAAGACCAAACACAAATTACACACTCACACAAGAACGCATGCGCACACGCGGCACGCAGCACGAACGCACGCATGCACTAAAACCCACCCACCCACCCACCTACCCATACACACACGCGCACAAACACACACGCACACACGCGCACACGCCCGCCCACCCACCCACCGACCCACCCACCCACCCAACCACCCACCCACCCACCCACCCACCCACCCACCCACCCACCCACCCACCCACCCACCCACCCACCCACCCACCCACCCACCCACCCACCCACCCACCCACACCCACACCACACACGCACACCCACCCACACACCACACCGCACACACACACGCACACACACACGCACACACACACCCACACACACAGGCACGCATGCACGCACGCACGCACGCACCCACACACCCACACACCCACACACCCACCCACCCACCCACCCACCCACCCACCCACCCATACACACACACACACACACACACTTGTGAAATCCCCCCTCTCTCGGTCCTTGTTGTGTCTCATTTCTTCTGCGAGGGTCAGGATCAAGCCCAGTGGGCACACATGCACTTTAATTGATTGAGTGGAGTTTCGTCATCCTTGGGCCCTACTTGTCAGGGCCACAGACTAGACCCAAGGATGGCTGTGGCCTACTCCACATACTTGGAAAAGAAATGGAGAGTCCGGATAGCCGGCACCACCTCGACAATTTGCAAAGACTCCCAGCTTGCGAGTCTGACAAAGAACTCAGATCAGCCCTTGGCAACAGGGATGGACACACACAATCAGCCACGCGGCACTTCTTTCGCCATGGACATTGCAGCCTGCGCAGAACCCAAATCCCACCGCTGGGCCCCAGCCGGGTGTGTAAAACGCCCGCGGGCCAAACTAAAATGAACAAGACGTGAAAAGGCTCCAAACCCTGTGGCCTGTACAGAGCCAGACGCGCCGCAGTCACCGCGGCTTGCAAAGAGAATCGTTGCAAAAGGGCCAAAGGGATCTTGCGCAAAGCGAGGAAAAAGAAAAAGAACAAGAAAACAACAAAAAGAACGAACAGATCCGAGATGCTCCACTAACGCCGGGGCCCCGGCCGGGTATTTGAATCACCCGCGGGCCAGAAAAACCGACGGTTTGCTGCAGGTCTAAATGGCAAATTGCAACGACGGCCTAGACAGCAGCAAAAAATACATCGGGGGGATTACGGCCTCTCAGACCCAATGGGCATGCTGGCTTCTGAGGCGATAGACATCGCTGGCAGTCTCCGTTGTGCCTCACAGCACCAACCATGAAATGGCAACTGAGTGGGAAGACTCCCAAAGCTTGGCGGAACAAAGGCAAGTTCCAAACAAACCTGGGGACCTCAAGGGTCAAAACTGACATCTGAGGGTCAACTGAATGACCAATGCTGCGCGCGAGCCGATGGCAAGGCTCAATCAAACACAGTAGGCTATCCTACCGCAGGCAGCCCGTTAAACGAACTACTGCCTGGATCACACTTGTGAAATCCCCCCTCTCTCGGTCCTTGTTGTGTCTCATTTCTTCTGCGAGGGTCAGGATCAAGCCCAGTGGGCACACATGCACTTTAATTGATTGAGTGGAGTTTCGTCATCCTTGGGCCCTACTCGTCAGGGCCACAGACTAGACCCAAGGATGGCTGTGGCCTACTCCACATACTTGGAAAAGAAATGGAGAGTCCGGATAGCCGGCACCACCTCGACAATTTGCAAAGACTCCCAGCTTGCGAGTCTGACAAAGAACTCAGATCAGCCCTTGGCAACAGGGATGGACACACACACACACACACACACACACACACACACACACACACACACACACACACACACACACACACACACACACACACACACACACACACACACACACACACACACACACACACACACACACACACACACGTCGCACACCCCTGCGCACACACACACACACACGTAAACACACACACACACACTCACACACACTCACACTCACACACACCTCAAACACATACTTTCTCTCTCTCTTACACACGCACAACATGCATGCACACCCGCGCACGCACGGGAAACACGGCCAACTTGGGCTTGTTGCAGAACAGGTGCGCATCTTCAAATCCGTGCGCTCGCAAAAATCCTTGCAGTCGAGCGGAACGTTGCGATGCCTTTACCAAACGCTGTGCCACTAACAGGCTCTCTGTGGTTTTATCCTCCACCTCAGCTTTGCTCAAGCTCAAACGCACGAATCCCATGTGCACGGCTGAATCAAAGGGCGTGTCTTCCACCCGCACAAAAAAAAAACAACCAAAAACAGAGAAACACAAAAACGCTATTTTTGGCTTCCTTAAAAACCCAAAGCGGGGTACCCTAAAAGACACCCAAACCCAGATGCAGCCCAGCTTCCAAAGACTTGTTTTCAATGCACGGCTGCTCACCGGCCATGCTTCAATGACCAGATCTTGAAGCCAAACATGCTGCGGGCGAGTTAGGCACTCTCGCGACGTCAGTCTTGGTCCCTTTAGAGTTTTCTTTAAAATGCCTCCTGTTCAACTGCGGCTGCAACGTTGGATATTGACTCTCCGAAACAGAGAGGGGCCAACCAACGTGGCGATTCCTTTTGCTTTTACTTCAAAGCAACCATGACTCTACCGGGTTCGTCTCAGAATAGCGAGGCACCTTTTGGATGGTTGAAAAAGGAAAACACGTCGCTCGAGAAACAGAGAAGGCACCTGCAATCATCGATCGCTCGAGAAACATTGCCTTCTCCAGCTGCAAGCTATCCTGGTCCAGATCTTCCCGGAGCGCCTAATCAGGCGACTGGAAATGCGTCACACGACACAAGGCAAACATCCCCTTTTGGGTTACCATCTTTGTGTTGGCTTCCCTTGAACCCCATCCCATCCACATATTTTAGTTCCGGGGGAATCAATCCCATGGAAGGATCGGTTCCGGACTCGGCCGGCCTGAATCTTGGTCTCATGACTCAAATAGATCCGCTTCAGATGTCCAAACCTCAGCACAAGGAAGGCCAACAGCATCTTGTGTCGCCACTCTCGCCTGCCGTCATCGTAGTTGTTGATGTCAAACTCTCCACCTGCCATCCGAAGATCAAGTTCCAGACGCCCCCTGGGAAGAAAAAAAACATAATATTTCCAGTAGTGATAGATTCCTTTTAGAACCAGCAAGGGAAATCAACAACTATTCTTAAGCAAATGGATGTAGGAGAACATGAGACTTGTGACTTGACATCTCGAGCCTTCCGCTAGCTCGTCCCCGAAGGATGCCATACTGTTGCTGAGCGGTGAAGCATCCCCCTGGTACGGCGGAAACAGAGTTCACCGCCTTTTTTGTGTCGTGCAGCTGGCAAGCTGTCTTGGACTCAGGCGATTGCCAAAGTTTTAAAGATTTTTGGCGCTGGTGGCAACATGTTAGGCCATGTGTAGGCCACAAGTTGTTTGTTGGTTTACCAGAATCCTGCGTTAGTCCGCAAACAGTGACTTTTCGTCCTGGGGTGGGTTTAGGGTTGACTTAGGGCGGGGCTGGGTAGACTTATTTTGGGGTTTTGTTTGGTGGAGTGCTCCTTTGATCTACAGGTGGTCAAGGTGACTTCAGGGTGAGCATGGTGAGCTCTGGATGGAGCTTGTGCTGTGGACTTTCGGTTTTTGTTTGAGTGATGGTGGGATTTGTAGCTTTGGGTTGGGCCAAGCGTGGATTGGGCTGGTTTACGGCGGGCTTTGCATTGCCACGGAACTTGGGAGTTGGAGGTACAGGCCGTTTCTCAGATTCACCCTCGGCGCAAAATGAAGGCAGGTTTATCTTCCTCCCACTAACACAGCATTTGTGGGAGGGGTACCTGGAAGATCAGTTTCCTCTTAAAGGTACCCCCTGCCAGGTGCCATGTTAGCGGGAGTGAGGGTAAGTCTTTTTTCGGACTGGCGGGCGAGCGACTGTGTGTGTGAAGCTCTGCCCCGATCTGTCCCAGAAAAAGAATAAACTAGGACCAAAGCACTCAGACTCAGCTGTAGCCAAACACCTGGCATCACACCACTTTTTGGGCCTGTTTCCAGTTCCGTTTGAGGAGGAAAAGTTGCATCAAATTGGTACAGGAGTCCTGCGATTCTGGTTCCAAATTTTGACGTGGAAAGCGGTTCAAAATATCTGACACCAGTAGGTAGAATCGTGAAACAACCAGTTGGAGATAGGAGGTCAACCCCGTAGGAGTGAAATCCCTTGCCCGGAAAAGTAAATAATCTATGCTACAAGCCTTCAATCCAAGACAATGCACCAAACCAAACTCAGAGTAGTTTTCAGAGTCGGAGAAAAACGCCAGACTCTGCCCTTTCTTCAACTTCCTGGACCCGTGGATAGGTAACCTCGGGTAAGGCATCCAAAATAGGGACCAAATCTTTTGGCTACCTAAGTCTTTCACGTGGTCACCTTTTGGGGCTCGGGGGGGGCATTGTTTTTGCTCGTTTCAGATTTTGAGCGGAAAATACATGAGGCATGATTTGGTGCGTCCTGAAATCGGCGGGAAATGAGGGGACACACACACACACACCAGAACAATTGAGTGTTTTCTCTAATTGAGCGTTTCTGAGTGAAATGAAGTGAAATGAGCGAAAAGCATAATAAGTGCCCCGGGAAGACCTAAGTGCCACTGCAACCTTTTGTGAATTTGTGAACTTGGCTCGTGTCCCTGTACGGTTGTGCAAGAGGCAAAAGCAGCAACGCCGAAACAGGCCTGCGTCTCTCGCGACGATCTCTGCGACTGAGACTCAGTGCCGAGTTTGTTCAAGCACGCATCATTCGGACAGCACACCCAAGTTTCCCTCCAAGTCCAATTTCTGCTGGTCGGGGCGTCTCCAAAAATATGGTGTCCCCTTCTTGAATCTTCCTTCAAATGCATCCCGCAGAGGATGCTTTTCCAATTTCCAGACACCCTGAGCATCTCACCGACTCCTGCGCAGAGGGTGCTGCAGAGATGGCCGACACCAGACTCAAGCGGCTGGAACGCCGTGAGCCCTGCTGGCTGCGCGAGTGCCTCGTCAGGCGTCAGAAGTAGCCGATTGGTCGAAGGGCTTCGAACAGCCTGTGAAGCGATTCGGAAGCTCCTAGGCCTCGCCCCAAACTGAAGTCTCCTTTCAACCTCAAGCCTCAAAATCGATTGCCCCGCTTAGACTCCACCGCCCCCACCTTCCACAACTGCCATGGAGCCCACAAGAATTGCAGGAGTGAAAGGATCCGAACCCCAAACACAGCCTTGCTTGAACATTGCTTGAAGATTGTTTGAAACGCTTTCTGGCAGCTTGGCGGCATACCCAGAGACATCCAGCCATCCAGCTCTGAATGCAAGCTGGCGGCGGTGGAAAGTTGGATGAAAATTGCCGTCGCATTGAGATTCGGCCTCAGTCGTGATTGATCTGTAGGATAAAACCAGCTGCATGTGTTGCAATTGGGACTGATGCCCCAAACACATAATATACATATATATATATATATATTATACATTTTATATATATATATATATATGAGCCAGCGTCTATATTTGCTGTGTGGGGTGTATTCATTCTACTTTTAGTGAGTCCCCTATCGTTCTCCACGTTTCGCGTGTTCGTGCTGTGCCCGATGAACCCTCTGCAGGGATCGCGCGCCTCGAAGCGCTCCCACTGTGGCGCCGTGCGAATTTGTAAAGCGCCCGATGAACCCTCTGCGAGGATTGCGCGTGCCACAGCGCCCTCGCTGTGACGCCGTGCGAATTTTAAAACTGCCCGATGAACCCTCTGCAGGGATCCTGCGCGCCCAAGCGCTCTCGCTGTGGCGCCGTGCAAATTCGTAAAGTGCCCAATGAACCCTCTGCGAGGATTGCGCGTGTCAAAGCGCCCTCGCTGCGACGCCGTGCGAATTTGGAAAGTGCCCGGTGAACCCTCTGCAGTGATCCTGCGCGCCCAAGCGCTCTCGCTGTGGCGCCGTGCAAATTCGTAAAGTGCCCAATGAACCCTCTGCGAGGATTGCGCGTGTCAAAGCGCCCTCGCTGCGACTCCGTGCGAATTTGGAAAGTGCCCGGTGAACCCTCTTCGCGGTGACCACGCGTGCCCAAGCGCTCTCGCTATAGCGCCGCGCGAACTCGAAAAGCACCCGACAAACTTTCTACGCAAACACAGCACTGGAACCACACGCGTAGTCTTTTGTAAGCAAATTGCACTAGGCCTCACATTTGCAACTCGGGCCAATGCTCGGGGTATCGACGGGGTATCGACCGGGGTATCGTTCTGGGCGTGTGTCGCGTGACGAAAATTTTCACAATTTTCCATAAGCTGTTAGAGCCAAGCAAACACACAATAGCCTTCTCTGCCTTGCGGTAATCATATATCAGTCTTGGCGGCTTTTGCTTGCTGGCAGCAACCTCCAGGTCGCAAGTCGCAGCTTTCAGTACAGGCACGGTACACAAGTTAGACTTCGGCAGCTCCAGCTCGAAGGTCCAGCACAAACCATGTTCAGGGGTATCGTTTTTTGTGAGTCCCCTATCGTTCTCCAAGGAAAATGCAAAAAACCAGTATTGAATGAAACGCCGTTGATAAAGTGGTCTTTGATAATTCTGAGGTTGACTCATATGTATGCAAGAAGCGCGGTTGATTTGTCCCATGGCGTACCTGCTCAAGCACCCCAAAAATTCAATTTGGGCCTCAAAATGATGGACCCCCCCCTTTTTGAATGGCCTGGAAACCCAACACTGGAAAGCCACCTGGAGGCCCCAAGTTCAACATCCATGCTTTGCAAAAATGCTCTTGTGGCAATATGTGGCATGCCCAAGCCCCAAAGTGGTTGGTCTGCCTTCCCAAACCCACACATCGGGCCCTCTATTCGAGGATACACACACGTGCTCAGTTCTCATCTGAATGCGGTTCGCACGTCTTTGACGCTTGAAGCACGCCCCCGCACACCCTGGTCATGCCCAAAAAGACAAGTAAGATAGGTGCACTGAGATCACGGCGGATTTCGGCTTGCTTGGCATTTGTCTTTCTTTCAAGTGCTCTGTCAAGCTTCCTGGCACGGTCAAAAGGCATTTTCAGGAGAAAGCAGCAGGCGCTCCTCTTCTTCTCATCCGCTGGACTCCTCGGACTTGAATCGCCATTCGCGCCACTGGTGAAGTCCTCGCGGAAAGCGCGAGCCCGTGTCGTTGCTCCACGCAAAACCGGAAGCACCCGGGCAGCGGTTTGCATCTGCAGCTGGTAGCTCCGCAAGCTCTTCGTGAGCCTTAGGCACCGAGGGACCTTCGAAGTGACTTGTCTCCTTTCACTCCAACTCGAGTCCCCACATTTGAAGCAGCTGTGGTGGTGAAAACCAAGGTACCATGGGTTGGTAAAAACCTGCGGTCCAAGTCCTGGTGGCTTAATGTTGACCCAGAAAACAGGGGGTGCAAAGGCAATGAGTGAAAAGGCCATCTTCCGAACCAAGGCGCCGTAGCTCGTGATTCGTGAGGGAGGTACAAACCTCGGAGATTGGGCTTCTCACTGTGGCTCTCTGTACGACTGTACCTGGAGCGTCCTTCGTTGCCTGAAAGTCTGCCCTGGCCCAAACATAGTGCAAAACCAAGGGTCGTGCAAAGCTTGCGTTGCTTCATGGGTGCTCCAGGTGGCTGTGGGTCACAAATGCGTACCGAAAATGGAACCCTGGTAAATGGACCCAAAGAGTAAAACCTGCGGTTCCCTGGTGGCTTTATTTTGACCCATACCCAAGTACTTTTGTGTTTCCGTGCGCACCATCATGTTGGACCCGGCCGTGCAACTTCCTGACACGTCCAATTTGGAGGAGCCACATCATCTCGCACTTGATCGATGTCGGCCTTTTCACAGTCCTCCGAGCCGGTCTCACCATCAGCTCACGTGAGCGCCCAAACCCCATTGACTTTGCTTCTACTCAGATGGATAAAACCAGATGGTAGAACCGCCTAGAAGGGGTTTTGGGCGCACGCGTGATAGCAAGAGGGTCCATGGAAAGCATTTCACGCCTTCCGGCCTCCTCCACAGCTCGCAGGAAGTCGCGGACTCCTGATTCATAGCCTCAGAAAAGATCAGAAAAGCAACGGAGTTGAGAAAGCAAGGCACCACTGTTGTTGAAATATCCTGACTGAACTAGACTTCCCCCCCAAGAGGGTCTGTGTTCTGGTGGCTAGCAATCTTGCCCAGCTCTGCTCCAACCGGTTCGCCATGCATGGACTTTTGGAGTCTTTCCAAAAGCTTCATTTCCCAAACTGGTTAGTTTACTTGAGCTCCCTTAAGCCAGGTGGGTCGCTAGGAAACATCCAGCGTGTCAAGCCTCATGTTGGCCCGCCCCTTTCGGCCGCCCGCGCCAACGTGCCATTCCCGCCTGTGGCATTGCGCACCCATTTCTGGAACTCTTGGTGCAGGTTGGGCCAGTTCAGGGAGTGCAGCAGCCGACGGATGGTGCGCATCCTGGGCCCCGACCCCTCCGAGTCTAGCATGAGCTGGCGGATCAATAGGGGTGGTTCCGACACCGAATGACCTCCAGCTATGCGCTCCAACATAGGGCCGACGAAACCAGATCCGCGTGGTTTCCTTGCGGGGCAGGTAACAAGCCGAATTGGATGTAGTCAACGGCACCCCGCTGACCTGTTTCGCAGTCGCATTCGGAGTGGCCACACTTCATTAAACGACATGTGCTGTAGGTCAGAGCTCTCTTGCCGGATGGTACACAACCTTGATTTGACCCTCCAGCTCCAAACCCTTGAAGTAGGCATGGCAATGATTTCGACACTGCGAATTCTTATGCTGGTTGTCTCACCCGCACCACGCACCTGGCCCAAAGTTTGCGGCAGAGGGTTGAAAGTGTGTTAAGGCCAAGCTATTGGGATGCTACGTGGCCGTTCTCCTTAGAGCCACACACAAACACACACACACAAACAAACAAACAAACAAACAAGCAAGCAAACAAACAAACACGCACACACACACACACACACACACACACACACACACACACACACACACACACTCACACACACACACACACACACACACACACACACACACACACTCACACTCACACTCACACTCACACACACAAGTCTTAAAAAAAACTTGGTTGCCAGAGCTATCCAAGGGATGGCACGTGAGGACACAAAACTCCCCCAAAACGCTACATGGCTGTGGGTCAAAACCCTGTACCAGTGAACATCCCAATCCCCACTAAAATCTCGACGAAAGTGGGTGGTGAATTCACCTACCAACCAACATCGGATCCCAAAACGGCTTTGACCCATGGCCACATGTTGTCATGGTCGACTTCGCCCAGCCACTGGTCTGCCACCACCTCCGACTGGCTGGACGGGTGCTTGGGCATGGAGCCCATGAGGCGAGCCGCGTCTTGGCAACTTCTGAAAGCCAAGGGCGTTCGGATCAGTCAGAACCAGACGGAAATCTTAAACAGCTTCCTTCAAGTGCCAAACGGGGGGGGGGGGGGTTAGGACACGCCAACACCGATGTCGCTCATAGTTGGGAAGGTTTGCTGACGTGCTAAACTTGGCTGAGCTGAGTAATTAGCTTGTCCACTGCAAGTCCGTGTCTGAACGTGACTCAGCCGGCCACTTGCAATAGAGCTTTGCCGCCGTC